GGACTCCAGAGCAGTGGAGACATGTTGTCTGGTGTGATGAATCGTGTCTCTTCATCTGGCAATCCGGTGGACAAGTCTAGGTTTGATATTTGCCAGGAAAAATGTATTTGGTCTAACTGCATTGTACCAAGTCTAAAGTTTGGCGGAGGGGCATTATGGCTACCTTCACACTGCAGGTCTTAATGCTCAATTCCGATTTTTTTATCAAATCCGATTTTTTTGTCTGCTTGTTCACACTACAAATAAAATGTGACAGCAAACGCGCTCTAGTGTGAACTCTCAAAGCGGCAAAAGAAGACGTCACACACAACGCGCTCTGTTTAGACCCAGACCAAACAGTATTGTTTGACTGATGGCCGTTAATATAAAGACTTGTTTTGGACTTTACATTTCCCAATTTTGCTTTAAGTTATAAAGTTATTTTGTTATTTGCAAGTGGCTGTTTTAGAGAGGAGCGGTGCTTCAAAGGATAGTTGCAGATTTCTGTCAGAATCTGCAGATTATGCAGTACAAATAAAATGTTCACGTTTCTCCAATACTGTCTTCCCAACAGATTCACTGACATCTACACTGGATGGCCAGGAAGCGTTCACGATGTCTTCTCGGGCGCTTCTCCGCCACTGATAATTGGCGTCTGTCTTGTGTCAGTGATGTAAAAGGCGATTTAATGCGACACGACCATTCAAACAGCAGTCGCTTTCTAAAACATCAGATATGTATCGGAAAGTGACCCAGGTCGGATTTGAAAATGTTTACACTGTCATACCATGATTGGATATGGGTCGCATAGGGTAAAAAAAGGATTGGATTTGACGCGCTTTCGCCTGCAGTGTGAACGTAGCCTAAGTTGTGGGGTTGTTTTGCAGGAGTTGGGCATTCCCATAAACACCTTTATAGAGGCGTTGAAGCTGTTATAGGTGTAAATATCAGCTGTTATAGCTACTGTAAACCCTATGCATTAAGAACGGGATGTGAAGGCATAATTCTGGCAATTTAAATGGGAGTTATTTGGCAATGAAGGAAATGTTGCAGAGTAATGCAAGCAGTATTTTCTGCTGGGAATTGTTAATGCATATTGTTCATGGGAAATCTATTTGCCTTTCTTAAGTAAGATACATAATACAAGCACAAGTTATACTTCCAAACGCTGTGTGGGCCCATTAACCCGCCTGACTGCCTTATTCACAACCATCATTCCAGTATAGATTAATGTTTCAAAAATTACCAACAAACAAATGGATAATGTGAGA